AAACTTTCTGGAACTGCTAAACAAGAATAATTAACTGTATAGCCATGTCTTAAAGATTCAATGCAGATAACGAAACTTAATTTCGAAAATTATACTACTTGGAAATTCAAGATTCAAATGTTTTTAATGCGTGATGGGTTGGATCATCTTTTTTCTCCCCCACCTTCTAAACTTGACAATGAATTTCTAAAGAGAGATAAACAAGAACGAGCTATAATAAATCTATACATTGATGACTCTCAGATACCCACATTAGAGATGAAACAACTACTGCCAGAAAGGTGGTAAAAATTAAAATCAATTTATGAGCGCTCAAATTTGAGCAGCAAATTATATCTTCTGAGAAAACTATATTCAATAAAAATGCCTGAACACTGTGATACGATCCCATATATCACTCATATGATGGACTTAGTTTAAAGACTGAAAGCTATCGGTGAGAACATTCCAGATCAACATGTAGCCACATTTTTGTTAGTTTTAATTCCCAAATCATACAATAATCTTATAACTGCCTTAGAAGCCAGAGAGGAAACTCTTATAACTAACTAGAGATTTTGTAAAAATGGAACTCGCTTCTTTAACAGCATTTAAATCTGCAATACATGCAAGAAATTCTGATAATAATAGACCCGAAAAATTTTGTACCTTTTGTAAATGCAGTGATCATACTTGTGAGCATTTTTGTCAATTACCATAGCAAAAGCAATTCTTGTCCTGACAATTCAAAATCAGAAACTTACATGACCAAACATTTCAGAAAATTAAACTGACATTGCATGAGCATTGAGACTTCTGATGAAAGACACTGTGAAGCCAGTGACAGGTCTAAACCAGCGCCAATTCAAAGTACTGTTTATAAATCGGGTTTAATAATTCTTCCACAGTATTGCTCAAAACAAAATATAAATAAAAAAATTTTCTTCCTGGATTTGGCACTAGTAGTCATCTAATAGGAGATAAAAGTTTGTTTATCGAGCCGATATGAGAGCATTTTCAAGAAAAAATCATTTTAGCGGATAGAAAAATTTTATATTCCCAAAGCACATGATTAGTCATCCTTAATTTAGATGAATACAGATTCCAGAAAATTACATTGACTAATGTTTATTATGTTCCTGATTTTAAGAGCAATTTGATTTCTGTTAAGCAAATTGCTGGTAAGGGATATTCTGTTATCTTCAAAAAAAGAAAATTATTTTATCTAAAAGGATAACCAAAGAATTACGTGGAGATATTTTGCTGCATGAAATTTTTCTAATCAAAAATCCAGAAAAGGCTAATATCGAACAGAATGTAAAAATAAAATTATACAGATATGGCATTCAAGGTTAGGCCATTGAATTTGTGATGCAATCAGACAATTAATAAGATAAAATCTTGCTGAAGGAATAACGATAATTGCATTCATAATGATAGTTATTCAGAATGCATAAAAAAATGCAGCAAATTGCTAATCCGAAAGCTGCTAGTGTTTGTGCAAGAAAACCACTTGAACTTGTACATAGTGACATTTGCGGGCCTATGCCTAATCGAAACACTGCAGGAAAACTTTATTTCATAACCATTATTGATGACTTTACTAGGTACACTAGGTACTCGATTTGCTTGCTAAAAACAATGAAGTTCTTAGTAAATTAAAAGACTTTATCAGTATAACAAGAAAAGAATTTGAAAGAACCATACAGACTCTACAAACTGTTAACAGCAGTGAATATGCTAGCAAAGAAATGAAAGAATTTCTATTGAATAAGGGCATCAAACATCAACTTAGTGTTCCCTTTTCACCTCCTCAGAACAGTGCAAATGAAAGAAAAAATAGCCTTACTGAGATGATCAGGTGCCTACTCTCCATGTACTCTCAAACAAATTAAGGGATGAAGTTCTGAACACAGCAAATTACATGCAGAATCGCCTTCCTTTCCTGTTATGAATTAAGAAGTAGATGAAAACCCAACTCATATAAAAAAATGTGGCTGCACAGCATATATATGAGTATTTTCAAGCAAAAATCATTTTAGCAGATGGAAAAATTTTACATTCTCAGGGCAGAGAATTTGTGGACCTTAATTTAGATAAATGCAGATTGCAGAAAATTACAATGTTTATTATGTTCCTGATTTAAAGAGCAATTTGATATCCATTAAGCAAATTGCTAGTAAGGGAGATTCTGTTATCTTCGAAAAATAAAAATATTTTGTCAACAAGGATAACCAAAGAATTATGTGCAGATATTTTGCTGATAATAGTTTATATAAATTTTTCTAATCAAAAATCCAGAAAATGCTCATATTAGCACAGCCAATATATGAGCAAACTGAAAAAAATTAGACCAGAAGGCGATTGAAAGAACTTTTGTTGGTTACGATCAATGACCAAAAAAGCAGAGAATCTACACAGGGGAAAAACGTAAAACTTGTTCAAGAATCATCAGTGAATGAAAATATTGAAATTTCCCTGCATCCAATGGTTGAAGATGGCGAAAAAAACTGACGGAAAAATTAAAAATTATACTCAAAAAAGAGCCAAGATGATAAGAGAGGAAAATGAAGGGGAAACCACCAGAATGCCTAGGATTCTTAACAAACACAGTCAGAAACATATCTAAGAGTTTGAAAGACTTGGATAAGTTGAATTCCGGAGAAAAGGAAAAGTGGCTATTCGCAGTTGAAGAAGAAATCAATTTCTTATCCCGAAATAAAACTTGGGAACTCGTTGAGCTTTCTGTAGAGAAGAAACCTATTAGATGTCAAAGGCTTTTCAATCTGAAAGAAACCAAACACGGAACAGTCAATTTGTTACAAGGCATGACTAGTGGCAAAAGGTTACAGTCAAAAATCTGATCATACCTTTGGCACCAGTAGTTCGACATATAAACATCAGAATTCTTGCAGTGATAGCATATTATGGTAAAATGCACATGAGGCATGTAGACATCACTACAGCATTTCTGCATGGAAATTTAGAAGAAATATACACAGAAAAGTTGGAAAGCACAATTCAACCAGAACAAGAAGAAAACTTTTGCAAATTAAAAAAAAAAATCTGTTTATAAATTAAAGCAGGTCTCTAGAGCATGGAATAAAAGGATCAAAGAGTCTTAAAAACGAATTTTAAATTTATTTTGTTGTAGCTAATTTTATTTTATTGAACACCTGAAGCATGTTTAAAGAAGCACTTTCATTCATTTAGACAAATTTTAAATTAAGTGCAATGTTATGCCATCTCTGAAATGTTAACTTTTCTTTAGAGTGAATACCTTGCACCATGCGACAGACGTCAAGCTTTTATCTCAGGACTTATTGGCATGACAGGTATAATTTTTCATACTGCTTTATATTTAAATCTTCACAGCTGAAGAAAAGTAAAACATTATGTCAAAATTTAAACTAAAACATGGTGTGCTTTTTATTTGCATTAATTGTCATCCAGATATTGCAAGAAAAATGCATTGATCAGATTTCTTTGTTTTATAATAGTTTTTTGTATTAAGATTTTCATTTTAATGGGCTACTTTTTAGTCTTGTCACTCTTTTCATCAGTTTATTTCCTGATATTCTAGTGTTCATGATTTCAGTATTAAAGAACAGTAACCTTTTTGCACAGTACGGCAATAATGATTATTGTCTATATCAATATGACATCCTTATAACAAGCAAACGCAAAGATAAAAAAAAAAAAAAAATAACCAAATCTCTCAACGAATTCTTCATAGCTAAAGACTTAAAAGAAATCAGAAACTACTCAGGAATCAACATCAAAAGAGATGACAAGTTCCTACTGAGCCAAAAATCAGAAATAGAAAAACCGAAGACAATTTTGTGTCCATATATACACAAGCCATCTTAAACACTAACAGATACTTCTTATCCAAATGAAAAGGATGTCTTTCCACCAGTGGACAATATCAAGTACAGACAAGCCATTGGAGCCTTACTATACCTAGCCACCGTAACCAGACTGGACGTGACCCTAGCAGCGAATCTATAATCCAGGAAAAATGAGCAGTGACAAATGAGAAGGACTGGAAAGCAAGAATATCTCTTAACCAACATGGAAAAATGAACTCCATGCATATTTCTAAATATGTCTTTTTTAGATAAATGGCATAGAACAAAATAATTGAGATAACATACTGCAATATAAATTCTATGATTACAGATATTTTCACACAAGTCACTGCCCAAGCCAAAATTTCTGAAATTAAGAAGCGAGTTAAATCTAGTTTCAAACATTTTCCAAATGCATAATTAAAGAGGGGATTATTGTATATTAATCAAGCATTTTGGGAAAAGGTGGGGAGGGGAAAAAACTTTTGTAACTCACTTCTAGTAACCCTAGCAATGCCAAACCTGTGGCAACCATGCCCAAGAACATCTGTCTCTTTTTTTTATTATTATTATTACTCTCTCTTATGTGCTTGTATATATCTTTAACATATCATTGCTTCTTCTTATTTCAGTTGAATAAATGTGATTTGTGCATAAATATGCATTAATGTTGTTGATGAATACAGGAAACATCCCTCGATAGAAGTTTTATTTTGAAGATTTAACCCGCACTGCCGGACTCGTGAGTGAAAGGTAGCTAAAATTAGATATCTTTATCTTCAGTATCCAATGCAGTGTCCTTTCAAAACAATATGACTCACTCCATACTGTAGTACTTTATATTCAAAGGTTAATAATGTCTAATGACTACATTGAAAAATGTGTACTTGAAAGTAATTGCATTCTAAATGGCAACTTAAAAACAATCTTTGCACATGGACTAATTTACATAAATTTACACACACACACACACACACCAAAAAATAAATAAATAAATAAAAATAAATAAATATATATATATATAAATTCAAAGGAAAACAGAAATGCCAAAGTAAAACATACAGTGTTGTTGTATATACTGAACAATATACCAAATACAAGCTTACTGGTTTTCCTAACGGTATGTTAACAAATTCACTTTAAAATATTTTTTTATTTTCTCATACTCACAGCTATAGTGTAAACGCTTTCTTCGTTTGAAGACATTTTTGCTTTTTTTGCAGGAGGATAATTGGCAGGTCTCTCAGTTTGAGCAAGATATTCATCTGTTTCTAAAACATTTCCAGAAGAATGAAATAATAATAATAAATAAATAAATAAATAAATAAATAAATAAAAAATAAAAAATTAATGAATCTTTTATTGGCATCTATATTATATGCATAAATTTAGAGTAGAATTTTATATTGTTTTAAGTTTTATTTCAGTATTCACCTAAATTATCTTGGCATGTAAAATTTTAATAACTGATGGTTAATAACTGATATATTAGTTAATTCTTACTATCTGCTTTAATGAATGAATTCACTTTTACCACATGAACAAGGTAAACAGTACCATCTGAAATTCACTCTTATCACATGATTAAGGTAAACAGTACTCTCTGATGTCTGAAACCCAGACATCAACCACCCTGAATAATCTAAAATACAGACAACTAGCAAATTTTTTAAAAGACTTTTTCAGGGTTTGTACAGATTTCTGCACATGGAAATGAAGTTCTTTTAAGAACCATTAACGAAAAAAATTAATACCTATGAAACAAATGGGAACTAAATGAATTCAATTAAAGATATTGGCTATGCCTGAACTGCACTTTTGTGATACCATCCTAAGAATAAATTAGATCCACAAGTAGAATGACTATTATTAAAAATAAGTTAATAAACATAAAATAAATTTAAGAATAAAATCAACTTTATAAAATTTATCAGGTAGCATTCAATATTTTACCCTTATAATAGTTAGACATAGTTAAAAGAAGATCACTACATTTTATTTACGTTTTACTAGCAGGTAGTTTTATGTTTATTTTTTCTTTGTCTCATTTTGTCCCGTACTTGCTCAGTTTAAAGAGTTAGTAAATACAGCAGGTAGATTTTATATCAAACGGCATAGGTTAAAATGAGAAGAAAAATCATAATCAGCATGAAGACTGGCTGTTGCCACTGCTGCTACTTGCCTACAGAGAGGCCTGCTAATCAGAACAAACCTGAAAGCTTGATGTAGGCATGATTGGCAAGTTTTTAAAATTAGTTGTGCTCTACATGTCTAACGCAGTTAGTGTCATAACTTCATGTAGAGTTCCTGGGATTGTAACCCAGTTAATATATTTTAAGGTTCCAATAAGCCACTAAAGCCAGACGAGATAAGTTGTTTTGTATTATTTTAAGTCTCACTAGATGCAAAGAATTAAGTTTTATATATTTTTGTGCTGTATCTTTTGATCATGGTAAAGATTAGTGAAAGGCAATAAGTCACTTTAATACACACAGATAATTTTTAAGGGTGACCAGTTAGGTACAAATAATTAAATTAGCTAGTAACCCTCAGTCTAATAGATTTACATGGCCACTATTAAATTTATTTTTTAAAAATATTTGTTAAAAAAGCACAATTAAAATCAATCCATTAACAAGTCACAATTTAAAATACATGTAATTTATGACATTGATTTTTAAATGATATTTGTGCACCTTTTTAATATAAAGCCGTTCCAGATATTCTGGTAATTTATATCAATTTCCTTCTCTTTAAGCATCTTTTCTAACAATTAGAAATTTGTTTCAATAGGAAAACCAATATTCCTACTAGTTTCTGCGTTTTTAAACTCCTAACCTGTCAGTCTCTCGACTATGTACCTATGAGGTTTTACTTGATATGATAAAAGTTAAATAGTCCAAAACCCCTAACAGACATAAAGCAAATTATCGCTATGTCTGAAAGTAACTACAAAGTCAAATAAAGGTTTAAATAAACCTCTAAGACTCGATACCTTAAGCATGTTCTTATGCTAACAAAATCAACTACAGCTTATGGTGATCCAATTAAACAGGAACAGTTAAATTCAAACTAAAAATGAGGTCTAGTTGTCAAAGACTACACACTTTCAATTTTAACCTACACTGGCTCAGTATAACACGCCATAACAATATGACTCGTAACTTGTCGTAATGCATAACAAATTCTAATATTGGCAGCGATAATGCAAAAGATTAATAATTACAAATTACCAGAGCTGGTAGGAATGCAGCGTGCAAATGGAAGCCAGAAAAAAATACTGTCTTACAGGCGAAAAGCCTTACTTTAAAACCTATCTAAGTGATTTTGCTTCTGGTCAGGAAATGGAAAGGAAAAATTATAGGAAAGGCTGAAATTATAAACAACTGCTTAATTTACATAATAATAGCTGTACATATATTTGAAGAAAAATCTCCTTTCTCTTTTATGCATTCGGTTTCTTTCTTTGATACGCTTCCTCTTCATTTTAGAATTTTTGGATTTAATTAAAGATATCTGTTATTCTAAAAAACTAAATGCATTTAGATTGTATAGGAAAAGGTGCTAATTTTATTTCTTTTGTAATATGAACATTCAGAATAAATATGAAATGATATATGGTAAGGGGCAGTTACAGAGCCTGTGTAGTAGAATTTTTAGAATTTAGTGACACACCGAGCAACAAAATCTAGAAATGGCAAAATTTTAGAATATAAGAAAGCACTATGCAGCAAAACTTAGGATCCACAGAGACTGCATCAGGTGGAAAAATGCACAGTGCCAGCCCTGTATATGATGCACAGAGTCATAGCTAGGATTTTCAGTGCCCAGGGTCAATAGAAGATGGTATTAGCAGGTAATGGATGTCACTAGACACAAGCTTACATTATTTTCTCTCATGGACAGGCATTTACAAAAAGGAATTTTTCTATTAATAAAGAAATTTAAAACTGACAATTTAAAGGATCCATCTCATATGTTTAAATGCATCAGCCATCAGATGTCCTCCACTGGTCCACCCTATCTATGCCACTTATGATGCATTGAGAGGCATAAAATGAATCATTTAAATTACCAGTTTCCAATTTCTTTATTAATAGAAAAATTTCTTTCTATAAATGCTTTTACATGTGATAAGATCAGAAGCATTTCTGATATTTTCTACGCTTGTGTCTAGTGAAAAGTAGAGAAAACAATGGGAAGGAGAGCATGTTAAGAAAAAGACTCTAGTATCAGAAGTAAAACATTCAAATATTATGTTTTCATTGTTTTTCTGAAAATTCTTCAAACAATAAAAGTTCATCTCAAAACATTCTGTAAAATACAACCATTGCGTGTTAATACCATGATGACATTTTTGGAGAATCTTCTAGATTCGTGGGTCTATAACTCTTGCCTTCAAATCTTTCTAAACTTTTTAAGTTGCAATGTTTAATATCCTAAAGAAAAATTATCCTGAAATTCTATAAAAGCAAAAAGCCAGAAATATGTTTAAAAAAATTAGACGGAAAAATTGTAAAATTAATTTTACAGAGAAAACTGATGTATATTGTGACAACTACACGGGAAAAACTCATACCATGAAAAAAATTAAAACGAAAGCATTTTTAATTAATTACATAGCTATTTTGCTTTTGCTAAGAATTGTTTCTTAAAAGCATAATTTAAGAAAATGCAATTTAAGCATTTATTTCCTTGTTTCCCCCCTCCCAGATTCAAAATACTATATAAATAAGTCACTAAAATGGAAAGTAATGCCACATTATAATATGCTAGCGAAAAATAAAAATGTTTCATTTTAATGTTATTTCTTGAACACAGTTGCAATATATAAGCATTATTTTAATGAAATTCATTGATGCTATAATATTTTTAAAATATTGTTGAAAAATTCCCATATTTCGGAATTAAAAATTTTCTATAGAAACTGATCTCAAAAATCGCCAAAGTGTTGGTAAGTTGTCAAATTTAGAACCATGTATAAAAGAATTCACATCCCAAAACTGAAAAGTTGTTTAAGAGCTCTTTGTTATAGAAAAATGAAATATTTGAAATGCTTATGTTTCACTTCTTGCTCAGAATCTTGAGTGCCCCTCTATTTTCATTAGAAATAGGAACAAATTATAATCCATAAATCTATTCGCCCACCCAAAAGATAACTATATTTATCAATGAATTGCCAAAAATATTTGTCCAAAATGCTAATTCACATTCAAAATAGCAGTCATAAAAACAGACAGAAATTTCAGATGATTAAAATTAAGGACCAACTGACGAAGTTGTTTGAAATTAAGGACTTTAAAGACCAAAAATCTATTCCAAAAAAAACCTTACGACTTTTAAGGACTCTTAAAGACTGTACAAATCCTGTTTTTGTATGCTTAATGCATTAGGTAAGTGCATTTTATGTTTTTTCATGATATGAATGCACAGGGCTGTGACATTTAGCTTCACTTCAGAAGTAAATAAAATACCTCCACTTTGAAGAAACACAATAATTTATTAGCATAAATATGCATAATCAATAAATTGGTAGTATAGCCACCTTTTTGCTTGCATACCTCTAAAAGTGCAACATTCTACTTTGAACTGATTTTAAACTTCTAGATTGAACCACCGCTGATTTTACACTTACTAGGCAACTTATATCCCCAACACTAACTTTGCAAACATTTTTTTTTAAAAAGCTTTTGCCACCGTACAACTCTTAACACATGGCAGCTTGAGCAAAGACACATGCAGCAATGTCTAAAAAAAATTATTTTTTTAAAAAATATTAATAATGAAGTACTAAACAGCATGGTAACCTTTTATGTTGACACAGTGCTTAGCAATGATTACAGACTTCAGGCTGCTGTGCTGTGAAGACAAGAAATTTAACAGAAATTTCTTTCCATATGGGAGGGAGGGGAAAAAAAAAAAAAAACTGTTCGATTCAAGAATAACTCACTTGTTATTCAGATAAGCTCACAAAGAATTTAGAGGATTAGAGGAGACAAATTTTTTTATAATTTAGAGATGCACTGAACAATAAAATTAAGAATTTGCAAAATCTTTAGAATCCACGGAGATTCCTGGCAGCAGAATTTAGGAGCTGCAGAGACTGCAATGGGATGCAAAATGTGTAGTGCTGGATTTAGTGAAACTACCTATTCTACTCGGATAAATCTCAAACAGGTATTCCCATATTTGTTTCATGCTAGTATAACAAATATAATAGATGTTTAGTGTAACAAATAAGTAAACTAATTTAGGCTTAATTTCCTTGGAACATGAGAGATGCATGACAAAATCTAGCAGAGCAACATTTCTTTAGTTGCAATCTCAAATCTCATGATACATCATCAACAGTGTACAGCAGAAGTTTTACTATCCTCATGAATTTAAAAGTCTTCGGACCCCACAAATAAAAAGAGAACTTTTCCAATTAATGGAATTGTGAAAACATGTGTAATAGTAGTAATAAATGAAGATAATAAAAGATGGATAATCAATGGATAATCATTCATGGTGATGACAATGCTCCAATAATCAATCAACTAACAGATGACAGAAGTTGCAATATGGTTCTAAATTCAGAAAATATCACCACAGATAGTGAAGAAAATGACAGGAATTGTTGAGTATAGAAAAAAAAGTCAGTTGACAATTTAGTAGAAATTTGAAATAAAAAAATTACAGAACTTAAGCAATGAAACTTTGCAATTGACCGAGAAATATGACAAGGTTATGTAATTGATGCATTGTACATATTGCAAAATCGTATTCTAAAACGATAACTTCCCAAGAGAAAAACATCTTAACTATAATGCAAATTAAGAAAGCATGTATAATTTAAACAAGTCTACATATTGCTATATTTTAAAGCGAAAAATGTGAACTGAAAGATAAACAAAAGGATTTTGATTACCGCTCTAAGTATGGTTTATTTAATTACAGCAAAGTGGTTGAAGTCTATCTGCCTATCAGGACGGATGTCTTCATGGAGGACTTTCTAAGGGAAAATGGTCCGTATAGCAAAATAGACATAGGGAAAAACCATGAAAATGCCCATGCAGCCAACCTGCTTGCTGGAATTCAAACCTCATACTGAACTACGAGCGTTCGTTCAGTCACTTTACCATTCGGTCTCTGGTGGGCAATTGCTTTATAAATACTTAATGATATTTTTTTTTGGGGGGGAAGGAGATGGTTATTTTTGCTTAGGACAGGGGTCGGCAACCTATTGAAATGGAAGAACCAAAAGTTACAATTTACAAAATTTCCCAGGTTTTAAAGAGCCACTAAAACGTTTCATTTCAATGTTATAGTTTTGCTTATATATATCTGATTTTTGACTTCAAATTAACGGCTTTTAATACGGAATAACATATATATGTAAACACAAATATAGATAGTTACATCAATTGGAACACTGGATTTGCATGGCTTTTGAATGATTGACTAAATCTAGCTTATAACTTGTTGTAAGTTTCAGTTGACTTCAAACGCTACATTTTATTATATTCATGCAAGAGAACGCTTGCTCGCACGAATATGTCGACCTAAAGATTGTCAGTACTCCATATCCCAACTTCTTCACCTCACTGTACCATTCTAGAAGACTATACCATGTCCCAAATATGAGGGCCTCAACTCACAGAATTTCTTTTAGAGCTGTCCTCTTGTGCTGCTCGATGTGCATGCATTTCTGGACCTCCAACTCTTCCAACTTGCTCTTGAGTTCTGAGAACTTGCCACTCCACAAGTCTTTGGTTTTCAAATATAGCAGTAGCATTTGAAGCGATCCAGCATCAATTCCAAATGCCTCATTGTTGATATCATTTGCATTTGCGTTGAGAGGACTTACTATGAACACAAGAGTACTTTTGTTTGTTTTAAATTGCTCGAATCAGCAAATCCATCCTTCATGTTATTTAAAGCTAAGTTGAAGTAATTTGTGTCAATAGTCGCATTGGTCTCATTGCGATATACTTTAGATTTTTAAAATGAATTAATTTACCGCTTTCCATGTCTTAAACAAAAATAAGTAATTAGTTTTCGAAACAAACTACTTCTTCAAGCAAGGCGTAGGCTGGGTTGCCCTTTTCTTGCAGTTTTACATTTAGTTCATTTAGTTTCATTGTGGTATATCTACCACGAAGTAGAAGTTCTGCAGCGGTTTGTCTTTTTCCAATTCGGGATGGTCAATGCTTTTTTCATTGAGGAATGTTTTTATTTCACTCAAGCACAAAGTGAAACGTTGCAATAAGTATCTGGAATGCCTCACACTTTTGTGTGCAGAAGTTGGTCAGAAAACTGGTTATATCAAGGAATCTTGAACTGGTGATGGAGAGTGCTTTCAAAATGCTTTAAAATCTTATTCAAGTTCATGATCTCAACTATTTCGGCTGGAAATGTTTGGGCACAAAGCGCTTCTTGGTGAATTACACAGTGAAACATTAGAATTTCATGGTTTACTTTTTTATCATGTTACCCCTCTATGCATTCCTGTCATACTTCTGGCTCTATCAGTTGCTATCGAAACGATTCTATTTATATCGATTCCATCGTCTTCCAGGTATTTTTGCACGAGCATTTGCTATATCTTCTTCACAAGAATTTGTCCTGAGAGCAATAGCAACCCTACAGCAAATGAAAGAACTCGGAAGGCCATCTGTGTTGTATATGAATGCAAACGACTACGCTCAATCCTGATTGAATTCTCGGTTTTCTTCTTCAGTTTTCTTTTTTTTTTTTTTACCAGCTGCCATGCTGACGGCGGAGCTAGTTTAAATTAACAGTACAGTAACAATGGTTCAAATTTATCTCATCATGGTCATGTTATGCATAATTAACGATTATGAAAATATAAGCAATTGAGAAATTAGGTACTTAAAAATATATTTTCTTATTTTTTAAGGGTTTTGATAACAAATTATTAGTTTTTCCATATGGAACTGGAGAGCCGCAAGTTTACATCAAAAGAGCCGCAGGTTGTTAACCCCTGGCTTAAGACAATAAGTTCTGCAACAAGGAGTGCAGAGTTTTTCTCACCGCTCCTAAAGTGTCCTCTTCTTTCATCATTTGGTTCAATCTCCATTGCAAAATCAGGCAGTTTATGCATCACTTTTAACAATTCATTTAACTTCTTCAGAGTTAAAGGCACTTTTATTTCTTCATTATCACTACCTTCACTAACATAAGAAAAATTATCCAGTTCTTCAACAGTCATTTCTTGATTAATATTTTAACTTTGTACGGTCCTTTCCTTCTTTCATATATGAAACTTCTTTGTCATCAATTACTTTTGCAGTTTGCATGATTTCCTTGGCTTCATTTTCAATCCAGAGAAATCCTTTAAAACTGTTGATAACTTCTGGCAAGAACTGATGCCAACAAGTATTCAGAATTTGTGAATGAAAGCTGAACTGTGTATAAATGGAATTTTAGCATTAGACAAACGAAATGAAAGCAATTAACATACAGTGTACGAGCAAAATCATGATCTGAAAATCTGTGCTCAGCAAGAGTTTACCGTGTTAAAAACCGGGTTTGCACTGATGATCTCTGAGTGTGACAAGAATTCACACCTCATCCTATCTGGTAAAAACAAAAAATGACTTAATTCATACTATAGTGCTTCCATAATAGAACAAAAGATTCAACTAGGCTTGCCTGCATGCTGATGCACATCAACACAAAAATTAATCATATCAAAACTCAGTACTCACAACCACATCACCTGTGGTGCTCAGTGCTTACACCACAGGCTTAATTGCAATAACTACTCATGCATTCTAATTTTACACTACAGGATGTTGCAGGAAGAGGTTCTGGGGCACCCCAGTGAGCAACCAATGTTCACACTGAGAAAGACATCAGCTTATTGGCTTTAGAGCCATCAGTATACTTTTAGTTTTGAGGTACACTATTTCATTTATTTTGACCAAGATCATTGGTGTAACTGTCATACTCACTATAATATAATACTGTGATTACTATAGTATAGTGAGTGTGACAGAGGCACAAAGTGAGCTTAATCTGGGACCTACACAGAATGAAGAACTGAATGAAGTAAACAAGACGAAGTCATGCTTTATCATTCACGGCAATTCAACCTCATTTAAGTCCCATCCAAAATGAACAGGTTGGCTACATGGTTGGTTTTCCCCATATATACGAGCCAGTTTACCTCAGAAAGTCCTCCCTCCTCTTAGGCAGACAGCACTTGTAGCTTCATCATATTCAAAATAACCTAATCTTTTTACATGGGGCTTACTGGTACATGTGAAAACACCTTCCAATCTTAAAATTACAAAAGCACATACACTTTTCAGATGCACATAAATGGGAAAACTATACTTCTCAAAAATAATAATCGGATGATGACATTCATGTTATCTTTTGCCATACGAAGAAAGTTTCAAACACTCATTCTCCAGAAAAAAGATCTATTACTTACTTATAAATTTTTACTCATATATATCTTTATGATTTTATTAATATTTTTATATTTTTTAAATGACTCCAGGGCAATGCAAATATACCAACAAATAATAAGAATATAATGATTACATAACAACCAATGTAATATAAACAACAATGCCCATTTTGACTTCAATCAGAAAATAACACAAAAAAATTTACCAAATGTAGATGTTGATTCCTTGTTATTCTCTGATGTCATACATGACATTTCTTCAAGTTTTTTATCACGTCCAGGACAAGCACAGATCTTTACATCAAGTCTTCTGCGACCAATGACCTGCCCCCTAAATGAAAATCACTATTCAGTACATAAATACTAAAAATCAGAAAACTAGACAATAAAAATAGTATTCTAATACAGACCACATAGAAAATTGAAACGCTATTTCTACATGAGATCTGGGAAGAAATACCGATACTATACAGTCAAAAGACTTTAATCTGGACTCATCAGGACTTCGGCGATTCCGGATTATAGATCATCAATTTAAATCTGGTAAGATGGCATGCAGAAATTATAAAATTAAAAATATGAAACCGTATTTATGAAATAACAGCAATTATGATCTAAAGGATATCAAATTTACAAAAAAAAAAAGCTTAATATTTATTTGTTTACTGCATTAACTTTCTTTCACATGCGCGTGCGTAAGCTACATCGATAGTCGAATCCTTTTATTGAGTTTTTTAATCCATTTAGCCAAACGTCCTTATTATGTAGTCTTATATTTTCCTGCTATGAAAAATTACATAAATGTTTTTTAAATTTTTCCTGACAATTTACTTTGTAAATATGTAAAAAAATTATATATTATGTAATTCCTACATAATTTTTTTTTTTTAAATTCGTAATTTCGTCATTTATTGGAAACGCGCATGGAGAAAGCTAAGTTTTCCCCCCTACTACCTAGGTAAGTTTCAAACTCCTAGACGCGCGATGGTTTCACCTACAACCCCCCCACAGAACATGGGCAAGTACTTTTACAATCATATTATTTGTCTCTAGGATCATAATATTCATTTTCTAGAGTTTTTAGTTAAAAAAATTATAAAAATAATATCGTGCACGTCAAAGGGTTAAAACAGATCGCTGTGCACATGGATTCTTGCCAAATATTTTTGGTTAGAAACTTTTTTTGCCATCTAAGGTTTTGTTTCGGATTTTTGGCATAAATTGTGTTTAGGTGGTTTTGCCATGCAAAACTTTTTTTGACATTTTAGTTCGAAATGTAGACAAAAAATTACACAATAATATGGCACCGTGCAATTTCTTTTGGAAATTCCGCCCCGGGCTAGAAGAGTTTTTAGGTATTGAATCTGAACAATTATTTGGATGATTGATAGAAAGAAAACGTGCTGATGTTTTGCCAAACTGCTGCAGAATGTGATAGCCAGGCCTAAGCTGTCTTGTCTTGCCAAGGTTCCGAGATGGATCCTCCTTTTTTTAAAATAACTGATATATATATATATATACAGTAAGTCGTTATTGGATATGCTGTGCGCATGCGCAAAATACTTTACGCTGCGCGTTTAATGTATATGGCTGGTATAAGCTAAGCTAAAATTATCCATTCAGTTAATGTTGCAGATTGCGTTGTTCCTATCTTCGAATAGATCCGCTTTTGTTGCAGACTGGTAGAGCAATTTTTTTAAGCTTGAACTTTCGATTATGTCAAATAGAATTTCCGATTTATATTTACTAATATGAACGATCTTCCAAAGAAAAGTGTTTCGGGTCCATAAAACAAAAAGTGGAATTGCTGCAAAAAATGATAAAGGATATCCTTGTTTCTTTTAACATTTGTTATCTAACCTCTTTTATCTTTAACGCTGTGGGTCGCAATTAATTGGAGTTGATCTGTCAGCACTATCTTATCTTCAGGGCAGATGTTTTATTTATTTGCTTATTGTTTACTAAGTAGTGTTCATTTCGATGTACTCAGTCTTTGATAGAGTTAAATCAATTCCTGTATTATACTTCCTTCTGATGTGAAAGGGCACGAGGTTATTGAAACTAAAATTTCGATGACAAATACTCGTATTTCGACACAGCCGATCGGATTAACAGCGGAACTTTGTAACTGACCAAGAAATTATGTTTGTTTATAGAATTAGAGAGAAAAGTTATCATATAAAACGAAGCAACTTAACAACTTACATTGAAGAAATGTATAATAAAGTAAACAAATAAATATTAAGCTTTTTTTTAACTTTGATACTCTGTATATCATAATTGTTCTTTATTTCATAATTACGGTTTCATATTTTTATTTTATAATTTCTGCATGCCATCTTACCAGATTTAAACTGATGATCTATAATCCGGAAACGCCGAAGTCCCAGCGAGTCCGGATTAACGACTATTGACTGCATATGATTGATGAAATTTTAGTGAACAACACTGAAACTATCAATAAATTATATGCAACCTATTCAGTTTCAAGAATCACAAGGAGATGGCCTTGTGCTACCTTTTTCAGTCTTCTGAATATTGCTGGGATAAATGCCCAGGATTTTCACATGCTTGCAAAGCCAACTAGCAAAGCATCATATCAAAGGATCTTCCTGAAGAATTTATCTCTTAATCTCATGAAAGAGCATCTTCATTCATGTGCCAAAATCCAAACGTTACCTCTCTGAAATTATGAAATCCCCCCTCTAAAGCTGGGAATTCCTCCCTGGTTGAGTAACCCTATATTAAACACTTATGTATGAACAAAACTTGTATTCGCATTGAATAGCTTAAATGAGCAAATTTTCTCCAAGAGCTACAAAAATACTCACTGTTTTTCAAGGGTAAATACAACCATCATGGGTCGCCTATTAGGTCCACCTGCACATGATCCAAAACAAGTAAATTTGTATAGGTAAGTGGAAAACTCCTGTCCAGCTAAAATTTAGAATCAAGGAAATTGCAAATTATAGATAATGAAAATCAAATTAAACTAAATGAAAATATTCTACTATAACTAAATATAAATGTGGGTGGAAAACACCGATTTTTATGTCACAAAACTTTAACGAGTCTATCATTTACCAGGAGGATTATCAAATGGAACAACCACACTATGACGTCCACTAGATTCATCAACTTGATAAGATGCCATGTTGCTTTCACAACGGATAAGATGCTCAGCTTCAAGAACACCTTAAAGAAAATTTTAAAAAATTCAGTTACAAATCACTAAAACATTAAAATATTTATCTAAATATAATCGCTATATCTTCAAAGAATACTAAGCATGCAGTGCTATTAAAAAAAAAATCCACAGGGAAGCGCTATTACTAAAGAATAGAAATAATTAAATTTGTTAGCGGAATTCAGTATTTTGCATGATGAAACTCAATTCAAAGTTCACCAAAGCAATAAGAATGACGAGTTTAGATGAACATGTGTCACATTTTGAACACAAATTTACTTGCAGCATGCACCACGGATTAAACTGCTAAACTGGTTTTATGTAAAAAAAGGACCTATTATGCTATTATACGAGCTGTTTTTAAAAGGTGAACTGATATTATGTCAAACAGGATTGCATTATGCTGCTATATGCAAGCATTTTAAGATTTTATTATTTCCATCGTTACTTAATTTTTTTTTTCATACTCAAATCTGCAAATTTCTTAATGTTAAATAAAAATTTGTTTTTTCCTTACTTGTGATGCTCTTTTTACTTCCTTGTACGAAGTAAAAAGGAAGTATTGTAATCGCGAAAAGTTTCAGGCAGCATATTTCAACGAAAATATCCATTTTGACTGCTATCGAATGCAATTTAACGATGTTTTTGCGTGATATCTGTACGCAAGGACAGAATAAAATACTATTTCCCTTCAAAAAAATTATAAAACTGCTTTAGAATTAATTCTGAAGAGAATTTTTCGTGGCGTCTGTACGAACGTATCTGCGTACGTATCTCGCATAACTCAAAAACGAGTACCCTCAGAACGTTGAAATTTTGTATATAGGACTGCTATAACATGTAGACGTGCATCTCGTATTTTGGTTGCAATCGGCCGCTCCAAACATACATAAATATATTTATATATATCCACTCTGTTCCACCCGCTTATAGTGAAATCTCCAATTTCTTTACTCTTATATGTTTGTAAATTGTACATTTTTTGCTTTAAAAAAATTTTGTTTTTTTATCTTCCGGTTTTTTAGTTTTTAAATCTGTAAATTTTTAATTGTCTACTGCCGCTAAGCCTTTTTTTAATGGCGGCGATTGATGTTTACATTTGAAACAGGAGACTAGTGGATTTGTTGCCAATCTAGAGAAACTTAGCTTCGCAACAACAAAGATAACACATTCATTGTTATTGCCAATTAAATCATGCTTAATTCTTTCTGGAATTTTTTCGAGGAAATAAGTGTTTATTTCTTACTTCGTAATTTTTAATATACATATTTTGAGTTTTTATGTATTTTTGCCTTCTCGCGAAGTGAGAACGGAATTAATTAAATGAGAAATACTGAATCATCTGTGAAAAACTGTTTCTTTTTTGTTTTGTTTGCTTAATTCTTTTATACATCATTCTAGCTTTATTATAGTATTTGAATAGAACATGTGGCAACGATTAGGTAATTCTATTCTTTAAATGATATAAATTTTGTGCATTATGAGTTATAATATGAACAAAATATATAAGTTAACTGTTATATAATTATTAATACTGTTAAGTGAATCTAGTGCCAGAGTGTCTCTATGGTAAACAAATACTAGAGTGAATTTTAAAGAATGCATTTATTCTATTGTGGTTTATGTGCTGTCGGCAAAGTAGATTTAATTCAATCCAATAAGTTTAAATGAAAAATGCAAGAAAAAATGCGTATAATTTAATATTCCAATACAAGGAAGTCATGTGGTGTACACATCAGATTTTTTAAATCTGTGCTAAAGGCTCTCATTCTAACACTCTATTAGCCTATTAACATGCTCCTAGGTATGCTAATTAAAATTATACAGATTTTGTTATATATTGTTGCATTTCTACGGGTTCCTAATAGACTGAATGCAAAAGTCTGATAATAGGTTAATTACGTTTATTGTTATCAAAAGAAATAGTTCAGAACTCTGGAGTTTTCCACAGAAATATTCGTACAAGTGTTCATAAAATGACACAGGATAATCAGTAGTTACACTTCAAACTACTAAGAACATTAAATACAACGCAATGCAAAGCACATCCATCTAAAAAGAAAGCCAACTCAGATATCTCAGTTTACGCAGCACTAAAAACAACCCACAACAATGATAAATTAAGCAACTAACAGCAGAAGCTTTCTCTTCGGCCTTAAATAGTTTTCAACTGGCCATAAGATATTTCTATTACAGTCTGCTTTTCGAAATTACTGGAAAGCAATAGGAGAGTGGAATTAAGGTTACAACTAACCATAGTGGTCAATTACATTTATGCAGTTTCAAAACATATTATGGTGATAATGAGACTGGACAAAAATGCAACCAAATTTGATAACAAAATAAGATGCCAAAACCGTTGTCAGCTTAATGATATCTTATCAAATTATGAAGTTTCCCCATTCACTTAATGCTAAATGAAGCTGCCCCTGTATTCTTACTTTTTTCGCATAGCTTTCTTTTAAAATTTGTCTCAAGCTGCATTACACAGAAATACACAATTTTACTTATAATTCTAAAATTATCAATGTAAGTACGAAATTCGTAACAATATGTTCAGGCTGATCTTTTCCCCTTCTTCATCTTAAAAACAGAAAATGAATATAGCTCTTACTTAAGAATAACTTGCAAACTTTCTGTCACACAATTCTTATACAATGCAAATGACACATGCACTTACATTTTTAGAAAAATTGAGAGCAAAACCTTTTATTAAATTATAAAAAGATCAAAATTTTTATCAAACAAATATATAGCTGTCAACTCTGAAATGTGACAAACTGGAAGGTTTCTAAGTCGCCTAGAATTTCAAAAAGCTTTCAAACCTGATTTAAAGTCAAATATATACTTCAGATTATTACACCAATTTTATGATGATTTTAATTTGAACTGAAAATGTTTAATAACAAATAGAATAACTTAGCTATGATTACAAGTTAATTTTATTTGATTTTGTAATAACTTTTTTAAAATTTTATTCTGATCAAAACTTGCATAAGCAGTAAAATTTTATTTATCAAAATACTTTCATAAATTAAAATTAACAACTGACATGAATATAATCACGTGGATAATAATTAATAAGGTACATTTACAAATTAAAACCAAATATAAATATTTAACTATTAAACAGTATATCTTCTTAAAGGGCTCTACAAATGTTATTAATTTATTTAAAGCATCAGACTGAACAACAACAACAACAAAAAAAAAAAAAAAAAAAAAAAAAAAAAAAAAAAGAGGAGGGGGATGGAGTTTGTACAATTTAAACTTCATTAAGAGATAACATTTTTTGCCTTCAATTTTTTATTTACTTTTTAACTGTCTTCCAAATTTTCTTTTCTTTGACACTTCATTATCAATATTTCTTCTTGAATTATATTGAAAGACATGATCTAAGTTCAAACTGAAATTTAACAGAGATTTTATGGGTATTATATGATAAAGTAGGAAGCTCCTGGTTTTACCAGATGGACTGTCAGCTCTGTGAGTAATATTAAGATGTTACTATATTAAAGAATAAATTAAAGAAAACTTTTGCTTTATTCTTCTAGCATGCCTCTCTGTTGTGCCAATGTAAGTCCCGTTCACAAGAGCAGATTCGACCGGCAGCAAAAACCAGTTCTTCCAGCGTGTCCCATTGGCGAACAAATATTAACTGCTTCTTGCAATTGGAGGTAGAATTTGCTAGAATGCTCTTACCTCTCTGGGGAGCAAATGGGGAGATTTCCCATACTGCATTGCATGATTGCACAGTTCATTAAATTTAGTAGACAACATGGCTGACATGTAACTGACTGCTCACTAGACTGTTAGCGAAACAATCACATTGATAGATGTATGGGGATGTGATGGCATTTCCTAAAAAATTAGATGGATAAGATATGGAAATTTATAAACAAGTACAGACAAGGTTATCTGATGCTGGGTATCATTCAAATTAAAACTAAGGGCACTCAGATGTGCATATCGGCTTCAATGCGACAAGGGGCTCGGTACCTTTTGAATGATTTTTTTTATTTAAGAACTTTCATCTACTTTTTATGAATATTATTAAATGATTTGGTAAGACAAAATGATTTTAAAGTGAAAAAATATTTTTGCCAGCAATTTTTTTTTTAATCTAAATTTTTTAAAGAAAAATGTAACAATTAAAATGTTTTTCTTCTCCTACAATTTTTAGTGACTGCCCCCCAGATTTTTTTATTGTATTTATTAAAGTGTTCTTAATAACTTCAAGGATCGATTTTGCAATTAATGAATTAGTTTGAGAAACAAAAATAAAAACACATTTAATCTTTGAAACAAATATGATCTCGGTCATACCTGTATATGTTTTAGAATTTTAAGTAAAAGGATTTATCAAAAATATGCAAACTGAAAAACGCAGTTTAAAGAATATAAACTGTCTAAATGGTCTTTAACCCGTTCGTGACCAAGGTCGCGTGGACGCGACGCAGTGATTCCACTCTTATCAGCCCAGCGTCGCTTCCACGCGAAGAGCTCCGATTGATATGGAGAGACCAGCGTCGCGTATGCGTAATCGGAACGTTTTATTTGAATTTTTAAATGCTACTAGATGGCGTTAAATGGCAACGGTTTTCACAACGGTCGACTCATATGGTATTTGACCTTCATGAACGGGCATTGGTTTCTGTTCTATGCTTCTGTATTCGATATATTTATTGATGTAAACAAAGTGAGATCACGGCTCTTTAAAGGGGCTGGGATTTATTGCTCGCTGTGTTTATATTTTGACAGATTGTGGAAATTATGGAACGTTTATTAGTTGAAATGTTGGAGTAGAATTGCGTTTGTTTTTTGAGGTTTGACAGAGCGAGATTTCGAAATAGATGAATTAATCAAATAGTGAAATGGAAGAAAGAATTTCTTCTAGTTAATATAAACAAACTGGGAAAACACGGGTGTTTGAAAGGGCACGTGTGAGTTCAAGTGACTTTTTATTGCTTTGTTTTTTTCATTAGGAGAATATGGGGGAGTACATTCA